GGGGCTTTTGAGTGTTGGCTTCCAATCCACCGACGGCTTGTAGGGCCGGAAAACCCTACAATGTCACAGCCACTGCCGACTGAGGTGGAGCAGGAATGAAGGCCCAGGGCTCCTGGATTTACCACCCGAGTCTTCGACCTTGGGTGGGCTGGCCACACCAAGTTCAACAGCCCCCGAAGCCCCAGGACTGAATGAATCGAGGAAGCGGTGAGGTGAGTTTCCTCCCCGCAGGTCTTTGCGTGGGAGAGTTTGCTCTGCGGGCAGGGCCGCCTGTGACCGCGCAGCCCTGTGGCTTTGCACTCGCTCTGGCCAAGCCTGTTCTGAGGAACAGAGAGAAACGGGGGGAAGCTCACCTACCAACCGTGCTCCACAGCAACAGGAAGTGTTCTTCTGCAAAGCGTGCTTGTTGGTTTCTATGCAGATCGTGCCTCTGGTGAATAAGGCACATATCTGCTCAAGGCCTCTCTGCACCCGCCGCCCACCAGGGAGCTGGGGAACCCCAAGAGAGGGTTGTTTACCCCTAGCTGTCCTGTCCCACCAGGGCCCCTGATTGCCCCGCCTGAGGAGCAAGTCAGGACGGGCAGGGGACCTGCCATCCCTCAGGGCACAGTGTCCTGTTCAACCACAACACCATCCACCACTGCGACCCTTCGTGACGGAGACACTCCACTGCACAGCCCGGTGCTGTGTTAGCCTGGATTCTGCCAGATGGAGTGAGTGATGGGATTTTGGCTTCATTATGGAAACAGGGACCGTGTGGCACAGGCAGTTCCGGTGTGTATTTCAGGGAAAAATTACCAACGTCAGGGATCAGATGACCGCATTGGCGCATGGGAAGCCGGCTTTGGTTCTTTACCACAAACAGCCGCCTGCTACCTGAGGTCCTGGGCCTGCCGGGCTCCGACCCTCTGCTGGGGTTTTCTTCTCGGAGGGGGCTGGGCGTGGCAGGAGACGAGCCCTGCCGAGTGCGTCCCACAGCAGCGGTCCGGGTGAGGGTCGGCCACTGTGAGTCACGTTGCAGGAGGACCGTACAGTTGTCTCTCCTGCCACAGTCCTGGGAAGTCATCTGGTTTTGATGAACACCATCCCAAAGCAAATTCAAACACAGCTCACCAAGGAGCCTGTGGAGTCAGAACCCACGTGCATTTGTAATCCTAGCAGATTCTCGGAAATAAGCATAAAGTCAAATGCTAGAATACAGTATTTAAATCACTGCTTAGCTCTCTAGATGTCAGACTCCAGAGATGTGGTAGTGATCGGCGGAATTCGCAAGTCCTCCTTCCCTCAGTAGTGTTCAGAGTGAGAGTGTGTGTGTGCGTGTGTGTGTGTGTGTGTATGTTAATCAGAGAATAGCATCTCTGGGGCATAAATCGTAATGATTCACCTTTAATTATTTGGCTCGGAATTAACTTAAATATAAATCCCTTGGCTGAATATGTGATTTTTATGCAGTTGAAAGATGAATCTTACAAAGGTTTGCCTAAAACCAGTATAAGGCACAGTATTGGGGGGCAGGAAGTACCCCACCTGCTCTCACTGGGGTAGTAAGGATCATAGTGGGATGGTGGGGAAGCCAGGGCCTGGGTCCTGGTCCTGAGTCCAGGACCCCCAGGTCACCAGCTCTGTGACCTTGGCCTCTGTATGGAGCCGACAGTCCTGGGGCCTTGCCTCCCGCTCTGAGAATTCTTTCACTTGTTCACTCAGCAAACGATTCCCCACCGGGCACCGTCCACGGCTCAGGGAACTAGTGTGGGGAAGAGCCAGACACAGCACTGGGGACCTCGGGAACATTTAACTAATATTGGGTTTTGATCCCCCAGATTAGAAAAAAAAGGGGAGAGGTGAACAAACATCCCTCCCACCCCTCGGGTTTTCTCAGGCCACTGTGACTCTGCTGTGAAGAATCTCCCACGTGACAGGGAGAAAGACTCCCCGGGGACTTGTTACCTAAACAAAGAGCTGGTGACTCCCTGCCTGTAAAACACTGTATGGGAGCCTGGAGTTGGAGCGACGAGCAACGCCAGGCCCCAGTGCCGCCGGGCGCCCAGCTGCCCTCCCTTCCACGAACTCTCCCCGTGGCCTGCGCGCCACGATCAGCACGTCGGACACACCCAAACAAGGTGCCAGGCCGGGAATTCTGGAGGGTCAGGGAGGCACGCCCCTCAGTGCGCTCCCACTGCAGACCACTCTGGTTTCCGAACTCACGGCTGCTGAGGCTGGAAGATGCAAAGGTGGGTGTGAAAAGCATTTTGAGGGGTGTGTTTTTGTGTGCGTGCACATGCATGTGCTCGTGTGGTTAAACTATGCCAACAGAAATCTAGGGGGTGGGGGCGAAGGGAGGGGACGGGAAGGGAGAGGCTGAGGCACAGAGTCACTTGGCAGAGGCCCGGACTTAACAGAAAACACTGGCCGCAAGCCGGGCCCTGAGCGAGGGTCTGGGGACACTGTTTCTAGGCTGGGAGCCTGGCACGGAATGTGAGGCTGTTTGCCCCCTCAGGGGCCACTAATGGCCTTGTGCTCGGTGCTTTGGGGGACGAGGGAGAGGTGCGCTGCAGACCGAAGCAGACTGGGCAGGAAGGCGGCCCGGTTCTGTTTGGGAGCAGCAGGGGCGGGCGGAGGTGTGGACTGGCTGGCGGGGGGGAGGCGCACTCACGGGCTTCCCTGGACTCTGTGCTCACAGGCCATTTCAAATCTGATCCTCACGGCGGAGGAGGCTGTGTGCAGGGGCACGCCCCCCACGTCACCACTCACAGTGGTAAAACATTGGGCGCTCTGGACGTCCGGCGGCACTGGAATGCCAGGTGACCGTCAGCGCTCGGAAGTCCTGGCCTGTTCCGCAGTCATTAAGCGGACAGAGGTGAAGAGCATGGAGCCACAGGGACCGGGACCGAGTCTCCTCAGAATGGAAGGCAGGGCTTGGGGTCTCACGAGGTCGGACGGTGACGAACAGCGCAGAGCAGCGTTTTACTGGGCACGGACCACACACGCGGTGGGGGATGGGCCTGGCTCCCGGCACAGAGGTCCTCGTTCTCTTTGAGAATGGGGGTCTCCTGGAGCACAAGGAGAAACGATGGGAAATCCTGAATAATTGGCCCAAAAGATATGTAGGTCATGACAATGCACGGAAGGTCTCAGCAACACGCAAATCGGGCGGGCTGAGCCCCAGACATGCGGATCACTGGAAGGCCGGAAGGAAACAGGTGACTGGGGGTGCGGACCCTCACAGGGGGTCCTCCTCGGGTTCAAGTCCTGACTTCCCCATAACCCGCTGTGGGACTCTGGGAGAATCTCCCAGCGCTGTCTGCCTCGGTTTCCTCCTCGGTAAACGGGGGCTTCCAGGAGCCCCGCCTCTGCGCACGCTGCAAGTTCTGAACAGGAAATCACTTGGAGGTGGTCCCAGCTAGGTGCTCGGGGACACCTGGCTCCAATCACAACTGCGTAGTCGGTACTTGCTTAGTGTTGACGTTTTTGACAATGTGTTAATATTGCCTGGGTATCTGTAATGTCCAAATAGAAGTGAAATAATTTTTAATGTGTCAAATGCCAAGACCAGGTGACAGGCACGTGGATTCCGTGAAGGGACACACCTGTGAGAGGAAGCGCAGAGGGAGCTGGGAGAGGCAGGCTCACATGTCAGATCCGGCCCCAAGGTCTCCAATGACTCCCCTCGCCCCAAGTAAGTCCAAACCCTCAGCTTTGCGTCCAGGGTTGCTCACGATCTGTCCCCTCCCCACCTTTGTCGCTGCACCTCACGCCCCTCGACGGACACCCTGTTTCCAGCATTTGCCCAGACGAAGGCCTTTCGTCCTCGTTCCCGAGTTGGCTCCACGGAACAGCCTCACCTGGTCTTTGCTCCCAGCGGGTCCCCTCCTCGGCAGCTTCTCCAGAGCTCTGGGGTGGGGCACCGTCCACGGCAGGGTCCGGAACAGTGTCCACTCCCTTCTCTTGGGTACTTTCAGCCTTTTATTGTCCCCATGACTGATTCGAGGATGAAAGCCTGAATTCTAGGACAGTTACAGCCTTTGGTGTTGTATGAATAACTTTCATGGTCTTTAAGGAAACCCACTGTCTACCTGAAGCAGTGTTTTCACTGACCTTGGAGGGTGTCTGCTCATGGTTGACACTCGATGAGAGAATTTGCTGATCTGGCCCCCCAAACAATCTCCACACTGCACCCATCGGAACAAGCAACTGCCTATCTTAACCTCCTGAAAACTCAGGGGAAGAGAATCTTGAGCTGCCATACAAGCTCTGCTCACCCTTACCCTGAATGAGCTCCGCCCAGCCCGGCTTCCACCGACTCGTCCCAGCCGACGAAGGGAGGCGCATGCTGGCCGGCCAAGGAAAAGCTGTGTTCCAGGGGGTCCTCGGATGTGCGCCCTCACGGTGCTGAAGGAGTTGGGGAGTCGAGAGTTCGCCTGAGGTCTGGAGAAAATAAATGGGCTGAGGTCTACACCGCAGCATTGTGAATTCGCAGCCCCAGGCGTGAAGCTCTCAGCCCCCTTGGGGGATGGACTGCTGCTCAGGAAACAATGAGTGAATGAGATGTAACCAAAAAGAGTCGCTTCTCAAGCCAAGGAGGCACTTTTAATTCAGTGGCCCTGGCTGTGACGTCTTTGGTTCTCCCTGGAGACGGCTCTTTTCCTCAGTTAGAGCACAGGCTCTTCCTGCCGCCAAGTTCTACGGTCTTGATTTAAACAATGGCCACACCACGTATTTTTGTGGAAGTCTGTTAACAACGTAGCCCCCATAGGTATGTAACGAGACCTCACTATTAATAAACCCTGATGTATAAATGCCCTACGGACACATTTACTCTGCACGGGGGGCAGAGTCCATGCTGTGACACTGCCCCACGGTCCCAGGCTCCAGCTGCGTGGCCTCTTCGGCACAGTCCCTGTGTAGGTGCTGTGGGTACAGTGTCATTTGGGGGCACGTGTGCGTTCAAGCCTTTAAGTGACACTGAATCATCTTCTCTTCCAGGGCATATTTCCCTCGTCTGGAGCTAATGTGGGTTTGCTCTCACAGAGGCATCTGCGGAAAGAGTGTGGACAGCACTGAAGAGGGCCGGCCCGAGGGGAGGACGAGAAGGATGGTGGCTAATCACAGGCCGTGCCGTGGGTGTTCGTTGGAAAGGCCCAGCTGGCGGAACGACGGGACCACCTCCGACTCGCAGCCACGGGTGCTGACCCCCACGGTCTGGCCGAGGAGCGTCACATGCTCCCACTCAGTCTCAGAGTGTAACTGAGTTCAGGTGACTCCTCTGCCAAAATCTGGACTTAATTAAACTCAGTGAATTCTAATTTTGGAACCATGTTTGTATCTGTCTTCTGGTCCCTGCTCCAAGGTGGTGCTCCAGGGACAAGAAAGTGTTCTTCGAGACGAGCTCTCCGGTCACATTGCGGAGCAGCCAGGGTCACCTGCACTGCAGCCAGGGTCACCTGCACTGCGTCCCTGCAGAAAGTCCTTTGAATGGTGCCACCAGGCGAGGTCACGCTCGGGCAAAAGGACAACGAGGCTAGGGCAGGATATTCCACCTCTCCAACACTTGAAACCAGATTTTAGTCGAAGGAATTGTTACCTAGCAGGAAAATCAGGCCCCGGGAAGTGAGTCTCTGCTTTATATTTATTTTAAGGTAGTGTGGACTCTGATATCACTGTGCATCATTGAGCCTATTGAGTTTAATGTGGTGATAAAATGCGGTAGAATGAAGGGGCTCCCTTATCATTTGTTCCATCCATTCAGTTGGGAAAACACGCACTGGACACTGTGCTTACAGGCAGGGCTCACAGCCCCACTGTGGCAGCCTGACAACTCTCTCTGGGCAGACTCACCACCCAGCACCGTCACCGTCACACCGCCAGCAGCGTCATCGTCACCGGCACCCTCCCCACCCCGGCACCATCCCAGTTCAGCACCACAGCAGTTCCTGGTGAGAGTCCACTTCCTGGCTTGCAGGCAGCAACCTTCCCTGCATGTGCTCACGATGCCTTGGTGCAGGTTCATGGAGAAGGACGAAGAGAAGAAGCGAGGGAGGCAGGGAGGGAATAAGGGACAGAGGGAGCTCTGCCTTCCTTCTCTGGCTCGGGCACCGGTTCCACCCCGGGAGCCCCACCCTCCTGCCTTCATCCAAACCTAACCCCCTCCCACAGGCCCCGCCTCCCAGCACCCACGGCACAGGGGGTTAGGGTTTGGGGGAGCAGGCACGCAGTCCGCAGCAGAGCCACGGGTGCACCAGCATTTCTGGAGAGGAAGGCAGCCGGTCCCTGCCTTGGACTTCCCTGTTTTTAGCATGAAGGTCCCGTACCCTGGAAACCCCCTAGTGTCAGGGAAACTGGAATGGAGGGTTCCCCCCAGGTGGCAGGGAACAGGTCGAAAGGACAGGCCTTGTCTCTGGACTACATCTGTCACCGGACTGCCCGGGCCCCAGTGGCACCGTCCTTGTGCAACAGGCAGACATGTTGGCTCGGCTTCGAGGGATGAAGGCTTCAGAAGTCCCAGGACCCGAGAGGTTGAGGGGCCTCCCCAGACTTTTTCAGGGCTCTGTGGCTGCCTTGACTTGAGTTCTGTCATCGGTAGGGGCTGGGCTGACTCTCAGCTGTCCCCAACCCTTCTGTCCACAACCTTTCTGTCACCAGTACTGTACGATCCTCATATGGAAGCTGCAGGGACAGAGTCTAATGCAAACCAACTTTGGTCTAAATGGAGAGGGTCAGAGGGCCACACGCACCTGGCCTGGGCCTCGGGGAGGGCCGCCAGGACACTCTGCTTCTCTGGGCACATGTCGGCCTCCGTCCTTCACCTGGTGGGGCCTGAGGCTGCTGACAGCAGACAGCAGTCACACCTTGCTCATCTTGGCTCCGGGAAGCCACTGGCCATCGTCTCCTCTGACTGCAAGTTCCAAAGTCCTGTGGAAGTACTGTCCTCACAGTGGGGCCTTGGGGCCACCCTGTGGCTGGTGGGGCGGGGTCTGTGAGAGGTTGACAGCTCCTACCTGTGTCATCTGTAGGAGGTTCTAGGAAGACATCACCCAAGAGGGGAGGACAGGTGCTGGCCAGCAGAGCTCTACATGTGTCGGCATCTTTATAGACATGGGGCTGCGTCTGCAAAGTGGCCGCTGTCCTGGAGACTCAGCAGGGCAGCCAGTGACAATCGATAAGCCAGTGAAGTTGGGGAACAGGGCGTGTGAGGGCCTGGGGCAGAGCGGACGGGGCTGGACAGGCAAGCGGAGGCCAGATCACAAAGGCCTTTGGTCGTTACGCCAAGGATGCCATATTTTGTTCTACTGGGGACTCCGAACTGTGGAAAAGTGGTGAGCAAGGGAGAGACATGATCGGGTCCCCTTGCTCTGGACGGGTGTGAAGGATGGATCAGAAAGGGCAGAGACTGGAAGTCACGTGTTTGACCCCAGGGTGGAGGGCTCCCTGCTGATCGAGGGGGAAGAGGGTGGCGCTGGGAGGTAAAGGGAACGAAGGGGGGAGAGGGGGTGTCTAACATTTTTAAGTGGGCAGATGTAGCCCAAGGCTGCAGGGCCTGCTAGAGGGCGGGGGTGGCTAGATCCGGTCTCCGGCCTGGGGCAGGCCAGTGGATTCAACTGCTGGTGTATCATCTCAGTGTGGGCAACTCACATCTGAAACCCAGCACGGCCCTCCCACACCTCAGACCTCTTCCTCTTCTATTTTCCTCCCTTCCCGGTAGGAGGCACCTGTTTCTTTCCTTTGTTAATACCCACCAACCACAAGCTTTCTTCTCGTTGCTCAAGTGGGCCATTCCCCCAACCCCAGGGCCTTTGCATGCACTGTTCCCTCTACTTGGGTGGCTCTGGTCCTCACACTTCACTTACCTCCAGCTTCTGCTGAGAGAGGCAGTCCCGGCTCCCACCGCCCTCTGTTCCGGTGCTTCGTGCCTTTCCATCACAGCGCCCGCCGCAGCTTAGATGCTGTATTTACTTGTCCGTTTAAAGGTTTGATACCTGCCGGCTCTTCTGCCAGGCTGGGCACTCCGGGAGGGCGGGGACTCTCCATGTTACTGGTCATTGTAGCTGCTCTTAAAACCATGCATCTCAAGTGCGGTGAAATGTTGGAATCAGCTGGAAAAATTTTTTTAAGGTTCTGATGCCCGTGAGCTTCCCCCAGCATTCCTGATTTGATTGGTCGGGTGTGGTCTGGACTTTGGGTTTTTCTAAAGTTCCCTGGGAGATTCTAACGTACCACGAAGTTCGAGATCGTTCAAAACTCATATTCCTGGACCTGCCCCAGAGGTGCAGACTCATCTGTGGGTCAGGTCCGGGAAACTGGCCCTTTGGCAGACTGCCCGAGAGATTCTCAGGCAGCCTCAGAGCTGAGGCCGACGACAGGTACGGGGAGTCGCATCTGTGTGGCCGTGGGGAGACCTGGGTGGCAGCGTGTGGAGTGGGTGCCGAGGACCTGCCAGCTGGAGGCCCTGCGGTCCCCGCACTTGGGCCATGGGTTACCTTCACTGGAGGGTGTTAAAAAATTCGCGTTTTCAGGCCTACTCCCCACCCACACACCACAGTCTTATTCAGTGGATCTTTGAACTTCGGTGGGGGCGCTGGTCTCTGCCACGTTTGGAAACTCTCCCCCTGGTGCTGATGCAGCCGGGGCTCAGAACCGTGGGTGGGAGAACCCGCACACGAGAGGCCTGACAGGTGGTGTGGATGGGGGTCCGGGGTCTGGGCGAGGCGGGGGAGAATCCGCTCCGTCTCCTGACCTCCCTTCTGGCGTTGCCAGCCTTCCCCGGCCTTCCTCAGCTTGCAGACCGTGGCTCCCATCCCTGCCTCCGTCTCTACTGCTCACTCCCTGCGCTTCTCCCCTGTGTCTGCAGGGCCAGTCCTGTCCTTTGTCTCGCTAGGACCCCAGCAGCAGGGGTTAGGGCCCCAGTGCAATCCCACGGGGGGGGGGGCATCTTCAGGTCCTTAACTCCATCCCATCAACAAAGACGCTATTTCCCAGCGAGGTCACATTCACAGGCAGCGGGACTAAGGGCTTGGACATGTCTTCTCAGGGACACAGTTCGATCCACGAGAGAGGGTAATGGACTTCACACTTCCCTCCACCGGGTGTGGCCGACAGGTGAGCACAGACCTGGCGGGAAGAGCTCACTCCGAGGTGCCTGGCCGGGGCCACGTGCCTTCTTCTCCTGCTTCAGAAACTGGGAAGATGCAGCGCATGGTGAGAGCTAATGGTGGTGGGTGAGTGCGAGGCCCTTCAAATTAAAAGCAGCAACTTTAAGATTTTACACACACACATGCACATCCTACTCTGCTAATCAAGGTTGCCTGTGGTTGACTAGGTGGGCAGCCGGGTCCTGCCAGGACTCCCGTGAAGCCATCCTGGGAGCAGATAAGCCGAGAAAGGCGAGTCTTGCCCTTCACCTCCTATTTAAGCTTTATTATGACCATCATCGCCGTTATTAATGTGGTTCGCTTTCTCATGTGCAAAGTGCTCTATTCACACGGGTGCTGTGCACATCTGTGAAAATCCGTTTCCCAGTGTTAAAGCAAACCTCACGGACTTGGCAGAGAGACAGGGGCTTCTGTTCTCAATGCAGAGCTGGAGGGCTCTGGCTGCGGGTGTGGCTGAAGTTTTGTTTACAGTAAACTGGAGAGAGGCCCGCCTTCTCTGGCAGAGAAAGATGCCAGCGCAACCGTCTGCGTGGAAGGGGTGAGTCATTCTGCGGCTCTCCCCTCGGCTTCTTGACTGATGAAGGGATTCTAGCGGTCCTGGGGTCACCTGCCCACCCAGAAGGGCTGTGACGTTATTTATCACAGAAAGTGCCCAGAGTTTAGGGGTCCTTCTGAGTGTAAAACAGAGGGCAACACCCCCCTTCTCCCCCCAGTGCCTTTAGGGTCTGGGTGGAAATTTAAACACCAATTTCCAAGACAGGTGTGTCCCTGAATTTGGTTGAATGGACTGAGAACGGTGACTGTGGATAAAGTGAATGTTTTATAGCCATTTCAGTAAAGCTCTAGGAAACGTGCTAAGGACAGAGCTACCTGGGTGGACCAGTACTGTCCCCAGAGAAGAGGATGACCAGGAGAGTGACGTCAGGACCTTGTCTGCAGCCGGAAAAACATTCCCACAACTGACAGCTCTTAAAACATGCTAAAAAGGTGGTGAAAATGCTTGAAGACATAAAAGAAATGGCCCTTTTTACAAAGGCTCTTCGGAACATGTTTGCTTTGCCTTGTGCATTGTGTGAATTAAAACTGTGTTTAAAGTAAGATTTTTAAAACATTTTGAACAGAACGTCTTTTGCAGTGTATAATGTGTACATTTTAGGCCAAATTTTTGAGGCAAGAATAAGGGCGTGCATTATACATGGTACAATGATTACATATGTGGGCGTAATGTTATGCGCATGAAAACGTGTGGGCGCATTATACATGGCAAAATACGGTAATCCGTGTCTATTGAGGGAAATAGCCGCAGAACGGAATAAAGTTGTAAGGAAGAAAAAGAAATCAGCAGAAATCTCAGAGCCCCATGAGAATGGATGTTTCCTTGTGCGGCTGATTTCCAGGCCCTTCCGGGGGACCTGCCCGTGGGCAGATTCATCGGCCAGAGCAGGAGCCCGCCGGGCTCTTCCCACCCCCTGCAGACCCTGCACCCTTTCCTTTCCTCCTCGCTGCCGGTCCTCCAGACCGTCGTCCCCAAACCATTTCCTGCGAATTCCCATGGGACCGGATCTTTTCTGCGCCCTTGTAGGGGTTTCTCACCCTGAGTTGCAAACTTAGTTTTGATTTCTGAATTTAAATGTCATGCAGCTAACTGTATGAGTTTGGGGTCGGTGACTCGGGGGCTGGTTGAACAGACGGATGTGAGATGAGGGCAAATAGCTCGATTCTGAGCAGCAGGCGCTGGGCCTGGGGGAGAGGGTGTGTCTGGCCCGTGTTTACACCTCACCCAGGTGGCAGAGCAGCCGCACTGAGCTCTTTCCAGCCCAAAAGGATGCCGTTTACTCCATGGTTCCCGCCTGGTGTGTTTATATGCTGTGCCCCCAAAAAGTTCCAATGGCACAGGAAACAAACAAAAACCACCCCAAGTCAGCCAGGGGCTGGCTGCTCCTGTGTCCCTGCCCCGCTCCCATCAAAATGAGCTCGACCAGCTCCGGAATGGAGCTGCGACCACACTGGCTCTTTAGTTCTGCCGTTGGGGTAGAGACTTTCCCAAGAGGACAGGAAAGCACTGCCTTGTCCTCTGGGAATTCACGGGAACGTCTTTTGGCACAGTGTGTTTCCCAAGGTCAGCAGTCAGTAGAGAAGGAAATGGGAGGTGACAGTGGTTGTTCCAAAGAGTCTTGCTCTACATGGCGCCTCAAACAGATCTTCCCCAGTAAGGAGCCCAGAGGTCGGGTGTGCTGGGAGTGATGTGGCGGGTGCAGCAGATGCCAGGTCCCCATCTGGCTGTGCCTCTGCGCCTGGCCCTCCTGGGCTGCTGGGTGGGAGCCCAGCCTGTCCCCCGGGTCACAGGACAGCTGCGGCATGACTGTCCTTCACTGCTGTGCAGAGTAAGGACACCTGCTCCTTATCAGCTTTCTCTCTCTCTCCTTCTCTCTCCCTCCCTCCCCCCCACAATGCAATGCACATAACCAAAAATTCATCATCTGAGTCACTCGAAAGGGCACAAGTCTGTGGCATTCAGAACAATCATAATGTCGCGTGATCATCAGCTCTATTTCATTATAGAATGTTTGTATCCCTCCATCCCACCCCATCCCCAGTCACTGCACGTTGCCCCACCCCTCCAGGCCTGGGAACCCTTCGCCCAGTCTGCCTCCGTAGGCTGGCTTCTTCCGGAATTTTCGTGTGAACGGGGTTGTGCAGTAGGTGGGCTTTTGTGTCCGCCTCCTTTCGCTTAGCGTGATGCTTTCAAGTTCAGCCCGTCACGGCACGTGTCATTCCTTCTTAGAGTCAAATAATAGTCCCCATGTGGGCAGAGCACATCTGTCCCTCCCAATTGTCTGTTTTGAAGAGCAAGCAAGATCTTCCCTGAAGCCCACGGTGGAGTTCTCTTCCATCTCACTAACCAGACCTGCATGCAAGGCTCGAGTCAAATTCAAGGACAAAGGGATCACGGGGGCTTGTCACCTTCCTGGTGGGGCTTGTCACCTTCCTTCCCGGGCTCTCAGACACCCTCAGAGGGCTCCCCAAAAAAGTGGGGCCTCCGCACGAATGCATGGAACTGGCCTGCTCCGGGTATTTTTAGACCTTGCTCTGCCGACACTTCAAAGGCTCAGACATCAATCGAGGCCGGGTCCATCTGCTGTGATTAAGACACAAATTCTTGAGGAGGGTGAGCAGCGGCCAAGGCATGGCAGGGCGCTGAGCTGGTGTTGGGCCGGCGCTGACTACCACCTCGTCCCGGGATTTAGACCTGAAATATGTCAGGGGGTGTGCGTGTGCAGGGTGTGTGTGTGTGTACAAGTCTCCTGGGTGTGGGGTGCTTCTGGGGCTAACCAGGTTAATGTAGTGGGCAGAATAGCGACCCCCAAAGATGTTCGAGTCCCAAACCCTGACCTGCGACCCTGTCGCATCACATGGGACAGGAATGAAATTTGTAGATGGAACCTAAGTTGCTGACCAGCTGACCTTAACATAGGGAGATTTTCCTGAAGGACCACAGTGGGCCCCGATGGGCTCCAACGTGATCACAAAGATTCTTAAAACTGGGAGAGGGTGACAGCGAAGGATCCGAGCCAGAGGGGATGTGACCTAGGAGCAGGTCAGAGTGACAAACTGCCGGCTGACTCTGCAAGTCCCAGGGGCCACAGGCCGAGGAACACAGGCACCTCCAGAGCGGGACTCGGCGAGGAAGGTATTCTCCAGAGAGGCTGTAGAAAGGCGGCGGCCCTGTGGACAGCGCAGTTTTATCCAGCGCGGCCATGGCGGACTGACGCCCCACACGCTGGAAGATAATAATAAACCCGTTCGTATCGTCTGAAGCCGCTAAGTCCAAGTGCCTTGTTACGGAAGCCATTGAAAGTGAGCCACGTCCCTCTGGCTGCGACTAGAACACACCACACCTCTGAAGCACACAGACATAAATGCTGGGTTTGTGACCGCTGAACAGCAAGCTGACTGTGTGCCTGTCCACAGCCTGGAAGTTTCTGGAACAGAGCTGCCTTTCAAGCAGAGTCGTGACCTGCCTTCTTGTTTTGGCTCCGGAAGTGGTAAGTCGGCCAGAATCCTCTCGTTTGGTCAGCCAGACCTTCTCAGAATCGTGGGCCGGGAACTTCACACGTCTCCCTCGTGACATCGTGTAAGCGGCCTGTTTTACTGCCAGTGACATTCGTAAAAGATCGAGCAGGCGGCGTGTGACGCTGGCGTGCTCTGTGCTCTGAGAGCGTGTGATGCCCCTTGGCAGGGCTCAGTCAACACCTACAAGGTTTCCTGACTCCATTCTCCATTGCCCACGGTCCCCGGGAAAGGACACGCAAACCGCAGCACCAGGTCGGTGGGATTCCCCACGCTGGGGGGCAGACCTCCAGCGAGAATGAAAGAAACCCTTGTTTCTTCCTAAGCCAGACACACATTTGGTTGTTGAAGTCCATCACTGTGTACCAGGCACCAGAAAGGATCTGTGAGGAATTCATGTTTTGCAAACACGTAACGTGTTAGATTTTCCATTTTAATTTAATGACCTATTAGAAATGTGCTTGGCTGGCTTTGAAGCTTTAAGTGCAGCTTGTCTTGAATATGGGGCTGGTTTCTGCAGGCTTTATTAATATGGACAGCAAGGCCACCTTTCAGCTAAAGGTCTTGCCCTTGGCAGAGAGAGAAATATTTTATCAGCCTATTCTCCTGGTTGCTTAGGAACTTGGAGCCTTTAGTCAATAAACACCAGCTTCTCTGGGATCTCCCCATTCATCATTCCTGACGCCAGGCCCTGGGTGGGGAAGGGAGCCCTGGGGCCACCTCCCTGTCACGGAGCTGTCCCATTTCTCAGACGTCACGAGAGCGGGAGAGAAGAGCAAATAAACCCTGTGACGAGGTGGATCTTTTCCCTTAGCATGCATCCCGGTGATGAACTTTGACTAACCCCAGGCTGTGCTAATTGGCAAGGTCCCCCTTGGGTTGCTGGCAAGTGTCAGCCACGCTCGGGTACACCAAAGTTCATGAAACCTGGCAGCTGTCCTGAACTCGAGTGAGGCCGAGCAGTGGGCTGTTCCTGTGGCTTCTCTTGAATCGTGAGTGTGGTCCCTCTCTTCCCCCATGTTGGTGCGGTTTCGAGAGACAGGAGGATTCGCCCAGGCCCTTGGGAACTGGCCCAGTGTCCCCCCGACACATTCTATTGTCCAAGGCTAGTCACATGGCCAGTGCAGATTTGGGGGCAGGAGAAGAGATGCCAGTTTGATGGAGGGACTGCCAAGCTGCATTACAAAGGACACGGACATGGAGACCGAATCTGCATAAACTGACCCCAGTTTGTGATACAGAGCAAATGTTCAGAACCGGTGGGTATGATTCTGGTTTTGAA